AAAAAAAAAAAAAAAAAAAAAAAGAGAGAGAGAAAGAGGATTCCACGGTCCAGTACAGCGTTTATTTAATCGTCGAGATTTGAGATTCCTGCTTTCTTTTTTCTTATGGTCCGGTGAACTTTGCACAATTATCCGGACGCGTCCTCCTCTTTTTCTTTCGCTGTTCCTCGAGATTGGGCCGCGTTCTTTGCGAGGGCGAGATCTCGCGAGGAAAAGCGTTTCAAGGCGAATTCTCAAGATTCTTGAAACGATACGACGATATTTAACGCGTTTAGCAGACAAATTCGCAGGGAGTGCGAATTCATTCTGTGATAAAAGAAAGATCGTGTTGCTGAGAGATTGCTCCGATAAAGTGAATCGATAGCTTAGAAAACATTGAGAAAATTGAATTTAATTTCTTTATGGCGGACTGAATTTCATCAAAGAGTAATCTCTTCTTCTTGAAGAGAACTCGACTGGACAAAAAATTTTATAAATTCTTATAAAATTTTTACGAAAATAATTACAATTATTATTATTATAAGAACAAATCCTGTCCCATGCAAATTAAAACATCGAAAGGTTTTCAACCTCAATTCTGTCGTCGAGCTCGAGAGATGATTTAACACAACTATTGGCAAAATCTATCTCACGGATAAAAGCGGATAAAACGAAGAAAAAAAGGTCAATAAAAATTCTCTAAAAATCGGAATCCCCTTTCCCCCCGGAAACGCGTTTCGACATCACAACGGAAAACGGTGATCGGCTCGTTCGATATTGCTTAAAATAAATGATCGACGACAACCCGGTGAAAATACGTTACGAATATAGGATTCGTCACGGGACGCCGCTACGTCGGCCCATCGATATAGACGCGTCCATACGTCCTACCGTAGCCACCACGACTCTGAATATCGCTTGTCGATATTCGTGTACGCGTATCGTGAAAATATCCGAGAGTATCGTCGATGTCAACGAGCCAAGTAAAGGAAGCCAGGCGTCATCCTCCAAGATTTATGGCACCCTGTGTGTACGTATATATATACGTACATACGTACCCACCTCTTCGACGATTGTACACATCGGGATAGATGGTTTTACCTGCGCCAACTTTACGGCCGAGTAACAGAGCCTCTTAAATCACTGTCATAATTGAGGGTGGATGCAAGAACAATAGAAGACAGATGACTGAGAATAAGCGTTCGTTTAGGAGGGAACAAAAGGAGCCGGGAGATGAAGATGCGGCGGAGTCTTATCCGGAGGGGGAGAGGTATTAAGGGGTGTTAAGATCGAATTTAATTCGATCGTTTTGTTCTTGTTCCATGAATCGTGGTAATATCGTTGTTTGGTTAAAGAATGACGGAATTGGATCTATAGAGGCTATAGGGTTTAATTCTTTCATTCTCATATGAAAACACGATATTTTGATTAATTATGTTTTTTTTCTAGTTGGAACTGTGGAACTGTATATTCTATTTTTTTTTTTTTTTTACAAAATAAAAGTAAAGAATATTCGTTTAAATTTTGTTCCTCGTTCAAGAGAATGAGGGATCGCGTGCATTTTCTTTTTGAATCGCCTCGTTCTTGTTCTATGAATCGTTATTTGATGAACGAATGACAGAATTGGATCTAGAGGCTATAGTTTTAATTCTTTCATTCTTATATGGAAACACAGTATTTTAGTTAATTATTTGTTTCTTTTCTGTGGAACTAGTATATATTTTTTTTTTTTTTTTTACAAAATAAAAGTAAAGAATATTCGTATAAATTTTGTTCTTCATTCAAAAAAATGAGAGATCGCGTGCATTTTCTTTTTGAATCGCCTCGTTCTTCTGTTCTATGAATCGTTATTTGATGAACCAATGACAGAATTGGATCTACAGAAGTTATAGTGTTTAATTCTTTCATTTTTTATATGGAAACATAGTTTGGTTAATTCTGTTTTTTTCTGTGGAATTTATACATTTTATTTTATTTTATTTTATTTTTTTTTTTTACAAAATAAAAGTAAAGAATATTCGTATAAATTTTGTTCCTCGTTCAAGAGAATGAGCAATCGCGTGCATTTTCTTTTTGAATCGCCTTGTAGAAAAGAGGAATTCATTTGTACATCGGTTAGTAGAAATCGATAAATGATGTCATTGCTTAGTGTTATGAAAGATATCTTGTCTATCTTAATCAATTATTTATGCGACAGTAATTCTAGTTGCGGAATGTGATGTTGTTTCTCTGAAATCCTGTTACGGTAGCGCCAATAATAATAATAATAATCCTTCTGTGTACACTGCCCGTGTATTTATTGTCCGTATTTATACGAAACAAAATTTACAATATTGATCGATTATCTTTCTGATAATCATTTGTCAGTAATACTATCTTCTTTTCAACGATTGTTTTTCCAAATATTATTACTTATAATCTGTTCATATTTTTTACACTTTGTTAAACACTTTCGTCACTTAAGTGCGATCAAGTATAAATTTTATACGAAATTCTTTTCAACCTACAAACATTTTCACTTTTTAAAATTTCATATTTATAAACTCATAATTAATAAAAGTTGCTTCATTTCTCATTTCTCTTCGCTCGAGCTTTAAATCTAAAGAACTTTTATAAAATTGAACTTGCTTCGAAATTGGCAAACAGAGAGAAGCTGGAAACCTGGATGACCGGTCGATTCGATGTCTTCGATGGGGAACGAATCCGGGAAACTTTTCCTTTTTCTTCGAAATCGAACGATAGGGCGCTACTTTTCCTTCCAAGATTACGTTTAATCAGAATTAAGGACATACTTGTGGAGCATCGATAGCTCGAACGATCGATGATCTTCGCCTCATTTATCCGATTTGAGGGAATTTAATCTCGAGAAGAATCTCTTCAACGACTTATTCTTCTCTACCTGACCTTAAATCCTTGGTCGATCGATTGCGATTTGATTTTTTTCTCGATTTTAATCTCCATCCATTTTTTTCATCGTGATAGTTCCTGAAATTTAATTTTTCTTTGTAAGCCATAAGATATAATTTTTAATTTACTTATTGCATTATAATTTACTTGCCAATACTTCGATATATATCTCGTCCATTTTATAATCAGAATGCAGATATAAATATAGAAAATATAAATATGAAAAATTATTTATTTGTTAAATATTCTTACGAATACTTTTACTTTTGAATATTTTTATTCTGTATCATTCGTGAATTTTTTCAAATTATCGATAAACGCATAAAAATTCTTAGTTTGCTTATACAACATGGTATAAAAGAATATTCGGATATTATTTTCACGCGGATCGATTAGAAAAACGTCCCATTTCGATTCTTGTGGCGCGGATGCCGATAACTCATGACTCCTAACCGACGAATTTCCCATAGGTGGGCCGGTATTTATGATATCCGCAGCTCGAAAACTATATGGAAGAAGAAAGCAATTTGTTCGAACGCCAATACAATACCGCAGTCCACGGTAATGAAACAGGGAATCGTTTTGTACATGGCGCAGCATGCAAGCCGCATAGCTAGCCATCGTTTGGCTCGTTGCAATTTTTCTCTATCTGTTGATTCGCTGGTTTTCACGTTTTCCCCCCTTCCCCCTTGAACTTACGCTCCCAGGCTTTGATCTCGTATTTT